GGTAAAGGTGATAAGGTGCGTGCCTGCGTTGTGTACTGCTGATGTTATGCTCGCCCCTCTGTCTGTCTTGTGCGGTAGGATGCAGCAGACGGGCTGGTTAGCATCGCTGCTTCTTGTCAATCGTGTAAACAAGGGGAACCCTCAGATTCAGTCTCGGCCTTCCCTGCAAGTCTTTGCCCCCTCAGGGTTTTAAGTTGTTTGCACCATTTAAAGCATAATTGATTGTTTCTATGTCAGAGTTTTCTAAGCCATCTTCCTTGTTAGTTTGTCTGCCTGTACCAGACTTAATCTAGACCTGTGAGGGAGACACAGTAAGCCCTGTACAAGGATAAACAAGGAAAAAACCCTCCAGGAAGCCAGGTACCAATTGTCACACCTGTAATCCCAGCTACTCAGGAGACTGAGATCTGAGGATCGAGGTTCAAAATCAGCTTCACCTGGAAAGTCTGTGAGAGACTCTGATCTCCAATGAACCACAACAAGCTGGAAGTATAGCTGTGGCTCAAGTGGTAGTGACAGGAAATACCTGTAAATGACTATGAGGTAAACATAATAAAACATTGGTGTGTGTGTATGCGCGCGCACACACATGCACACAAGTAAATACTGAACCCAGTTCCACTTTCTGTTTTTCATTTATTTTTGCCCTTTTAAACGTATTAAAAGGTTTTTTTCCTCTCTACTTTTTTAAACAGGGAGTGCAAAAGTCATTATGCTATTTGAAATTAGTTCATGTTACGTTTCCATAAAAAGAATCCCTTGCTCACACTGTAGCTTACTCTTTGTAGATTTATTTGAAAACTGGTTTTCTGAGACCATTAGAAAAAATAAAATAATGGCAAAAGTTTAAAATGCCTCTGCAGAGACTTCAAGTCACAAACTGTCAGGTCTTTGTTACACACCCCCCCCCCCCCCCCCACACACACACACACACACACTTGAGTTCTCTGTTGTTTTGCTTTTTGTCTGGACGCAGTATTAAGGAGCAGATGGTTAATTGCCACAGGGAAGCTGGATAATGGAGTTTGAGGAGCTCAGAAGAGGTTAATGAGAACAGTCTGTGCTGGTTACAAGATTTTTTTTTTTTTTCTTTCCCCACCCCACCCACCACCCAGGATAACCGGGAAGTACTTATTACCGTCAGTATTTGGGATTTCATTTGTGTTAATACAAAAATACAACATAAGCTGGGGGCTAGTGCTCACGCCTGCCATCCTAGCTACTCACGAGACTGAGGTCTGCGGGTCCTGGTTCAAAGCCAGCCCCGGCAGAAAAGTCTAAGAGACTCTTCTCTCCCATGAACCAGCAGGGAGCGGAGATGTGGCTTACGTGGTAGAATGCTAACTTTGAGTGAAAGGTACAAGTCCCAGTACAGACATTAAAAAGAGCAGAAAGCCACATCCTTGTTTGAATTAGAATATTTCTTTTATTTGAAAAACAATTCTATACCCCCTCCCCATTTCTTCGTGGTAGGGTTTAGGAGATTTGTTTTGTGCGTTTAGATTACACACTTAGTGTGTCAGTTTCGCCCAGGGAACTTCTTCCCTGTTATTTATTAAACGCCCTGGGTTTTCCACTCAGGACTTGGCCCCAAAAGAAGAAATGAAACAAGACCCCATGATGTGGCAGACAAATGGCCATAGCAGCTGAGCTGGGAGCCGCCACACGTCATTTCAGTCTCTCAGGAAAATGCTTTCTACCTTCGTGTCTTTGAAGTGGCTGCCTTTGAAGTTTACTTACTTAGGTTAAAAGTAACTTGAATTTTTCCTGATTAGAAAGTAGCTCGTGTGTGTGTGTGTGTGTGTGTGTGTGTGTGTGCGCGCGCGCGCACGCGCATGTGTGTGCACGCGCACGTGCACTGGTACTAGGACTTAAACTCATAGGCTTGCACTCTCATTTGACTTTTTCACTCAAGTCTGGTGCTCTGTTTGAGCCACACTTCCACTTCTGGCTTTTTGCTGGTTCATTGGAGATCAAAAGTCTCATGGACTTTGCTATTCCGGCTGGCTTCAAACTTTGATCCTCATGTCTCAGCCTCCTTAGTGGCTAGGTACAGGTGTGTGCTACTGGCACACACTCTGATTTTATTTTATAATTCCCGTAACAGCTTTCTAATCAAGTCATCTAAATTTTGGGTCCCTGAACTCTGTCATCTGCTTAAATTAAGATGGAAAAGCCTTGAAAACGTACAGTCATATACAAAGGTATACTTAATGAAGGCTTACTGAAAATCTATCGGATATATGTTATCTCTCTGATGTGAACACTATTGTACTAGACTTTTATTTTTTTATTATTGTTACTAGATATTAGCTATGTCTCATAAATGTTAATGGAAAATGAAAAGACATGGATTTCTTTCCATTAACCAGAAAGAAAAATCTTTATCTTCTTTATAATCCCTGCCTTACTTTAAATAGGATAACAGCATATTAAGTGTGTTATTTAAATGGTTTTGTTATTCTCACTTCCCTGTTCTGTGTGTGTGTGTGTGTGTGTGTGTGTGTGACAGTTCTGAGACTTGAACTCAGACACAAGGCCTGGGTACTGTCTCTTAGCTTTTTCTGTGCAACGCTAGAGCTCTACCACCTGAGCCACCATTGCATTTCTGGCTTTTTGGTTGGAGAGTCTCATGGCCTTTCCTTTGAACTGTGATCCTCCTATCTCAGCCTCTTGAGTAACTGGAATTACAGGCGAGAGCCATCAGTGCTGGACTACACTGCCCTCTTTACCCAATAAAATGGCTCTTAGTGCCATAATGAACTCTCCACAGAAAGCCTGCCTTCTCGGTTCCATAATTATTTTATGCCAGAACATTACATTTAACATGTAAAATTTAAAATGCCTTTCCTGTTAACACTACATATTGCTTTTGGCAGAACTGAATTGTTTGGTAATGAATGTAAGTTTAGTTTCAAAGAAAACACTTTGTTCCCATTCTTTATTAGAAAAAAAAAGCTTTAGGAATATTTGAGATCCATGAAATCGTTTTTCTGTGACTACAAAGAGATGCACAGAGATAGCCTACCCTATTCGTCTGAAGCTCACAGTTCCAAGCCAGCCTGGGCGGAAAAGTCCATGAGCCTCTTACCTCCAAGCGACCAGCAAAAAGTCAGAAATGGGTCTGTGGCTCAAATAGCAGAGCACTAGCCTTGAGAGCGTGTGTAGGTCCTGAGTTCAAGTCCCAGGACCAGCACTGAGAGAGAGAGAGAGAGATCCCTTACACAGATAAGCACCCATGTTTTATCTATAGCAGAGTTATTTAGGATTTTAGATTAGTTTTCTCTTTGCGATAGACAGTTTTTTGGTTGGACATGGGGTGTGAATGCTCACTGCTTTGTAAAAAGAGACAGACAGAGAAGAGCCCCTTAGCACCTGCTCCAAGCTAGTGCTTTACCACTTGAGCCAAAACTTCATCTCTAGCCTTTTTTTTTTTGATAGCTGATTGGAGTTAAAAGTGTCTGTCACACACTTTCCTGCCAGGGCTAGCTTAGCTTCAGACCACGTTCCTCAGATCTCAGCCTCCTGAGTAGACTATTGTTTTGTGCATGTGCTAGTACTGGGGCTTGAACTCAGGGCCTTGAGCTCTTGCTTAGATTTGTTTGTTTGCTCAAGGCTAATACTCTACCACTTGAGCCACAGCTCCACTTCTGACTGTTTGCTGGTTAATTGGACATAAGAGTCTCATGGACTTTCCTGCCCAGACTGGCTTTGAACTGTGATCCTGGATCTCAGGGTTACATGTGTGAGCGACCAGCATCTGGCCTCTTGTGCTGTGAATAATTTGATACTTTCTATAATAAGAATTTAAGAACTGAAACCTTTGGGGATGTTTTCTGTTTGTAAGAGAAGGAGTTGGATGTTTTGGAAAGTGATAAAGATGGTGGATGAACGCTGGTCCTCTCATTAAAGGGAACTTTTCTGTAAACAAATGTGGAAGCATCTTTGAAGGACATAGTCTAAACCCAACAGGTAAAAATGCCCCGATTTCTTCCTTACTTTTCTTCATATTATTATCTCATAGAATTCAGCCATGAAGGAGTCAAGTTGTCTTTCTTCTTACCGTGTAAAAGTGATTTTTAAGGTCAACAAGGAAAAGTGGCATGATTTTGTTGGTACTTTTTAGCAATAAAAACCTAAGATCTCCCCCAGGGCCAGTGGCTCCCGCCTGTCAGCCCAGCCAGCCTAGGCAGGAAAGTCCAGGAAACTCTTATTTCCAAAAAGGTGAAAGTGGAGCTGTGGCTCAAGGGGTAGAGTGCCAGCCTTGAACAAAAACGCTAAGCAAGAGCTCAAGGCCCTGAGTGCAAGTCCTAGTGCTAGCCACACAAAAAGATAACAATAAATAAACCGGAGATCCCCCTGTCAACTTTGTTTTAGCCTAAGCCTTAGGCAGTTTCAAAATGTCTAACTGTAACTGGTTTGGAAAGAAAAAAAAAAAAAAGGTTGTGGTATTACACGTTGTTCTGGCAACATGTAAAAAAGCAAAGCAAGAAATCACCCTAGAACAAGATGGACCTCAAATAACTGCTAAAAAGCCTGGAAGCCCCTTTTCTTTTTTTCTTTTTCTTTTTTACACAGAGGCATAAAAATGTGAATTGAAACCAAGTAGAAAGCCCCCCTCCCTCCTCAGAAACCCAGTTCACCGACCAGGAGTGCCTCCTGGGGCGTCCCGGGAAAGTGATGCGAACTCTTAATCGAGTGTGATTTCTCCCTTGATGATTGCAACACAAAACGAGGCAATCAGCCAGGCACAGCGGCTCCCGCCTGCGATCCAGGCACTCAGGAGGCTGAGACCTGAGGGTCTGGGTTGGAAGCCAGTCTGTGCAGACTCCGCAGTTAACCACCAGCCAAACACCCAGAAGTGGGTGTGCAGCTCGAGTGGTGCAGCACCAGCCTCGAGTGGAGAGGCCCTGAGTTCAAGCCCCAGTCCGGGCTGGGGGGAGGGGGGTAAACTTGCCTTTTTTAGCTAGAACTCTAAGAGCACGATGTGCCTTTTTCAGGTGCCTGTGCAGATTGTTCCAGAACAGTGCTCTGCCTTTCTTTAGGACTACCTCACCAGCTCTGGCACAGAGACTCCAGCATTCTGAGGTAAGCTGGCTTCTACTTTGAACTGGAAGGAAGGGGTGTCTCTTGAAACGTGGAAACATTCCTCATAGGAAAGTTGACAAAGATAGGCAACTGGTTTTCAGATAAATGCCCAGTATAACCTTGGTCAGCCTGAAAATCCCCATGCTTCAAGCTTCTCATCTGCTCAGTAGTGCTTGCCACTGGCTGTACTGAAAGAGGACCCATTGCTGAATGCCACCGGTGGCTCACGCCTGTAATCCCAGCTACTCAAGAGGCTGAGACCCAAGGATCACTATTTAAAGCCACCTCTGGAAAGAAAGCCTGTGAGACTCTATCTTCAATGAGCCAGCAAAAAGCCAGAAGTAGAGCTGTGGCCTCAGTGGTAGAGCACCAGCCTAGAGTAAAAAAGCAAAAGCTAATTGACAGTGCCCAGTCCCTGAGTTCAAGCCCCAGTACTGGAACCAAAAACAAAAAAAGGCATCCAAAAACTCTTGAGGAAAGGTTACACAAACACGTGACATGTCTTGTCTGCTTTGTTTAGTCTTGTATGAGTTTTTTGGATTTGGTGTGCATGTGTGTGTGCATGCGTGTGTGCATGTGTGTGTGTGTGTGTGAGTACTGGGGCTTGAGCTTGGCACTGTCCCTTAACTTTTCTTCTCAAGGCTGGTGCTCTACCACCTGTGTCACAACTCCACTTCACCTTTTTTTGGCTAGTTAATTGGAGGTAAGAGTCTCAAGACTTTCTTACCCTGGCTGGCTTTGAACCCGTATCCTCAGATCTCAGCTTGCTGAGATTACAGGCCTGGGTCCCTGGCACCTGGCTTTGAGTTACTGAGATAGTTTCCCCCAAAGCCCAGGTTGGCCCCAAACTCCCTCTCCTCCTCCCTCAGCCTTCTGACCGGCGGGCGTAGCTGGGTGTCCCAGCGCTGTCTTTGTAACATTTTGGGGTGACTTAAATGTCTCAGAAGAGAAAACCACTTGCCCTGTTTGTAGTAAGTGACTTACTCGGGAATCAAGCATTCACACGTTACAGGTGGATGAACTCGTTAAGGGCAGTAGCCAGCTAGCGCTCATTGACATAAGTTATGTGCTTACAGAGTTGATTCGATGGTGGCTCTCCAAGGTCTCTCCCTGAGATGGAAAGCAATAGCTTCAGAACCTTCTGGTAATTGCTAGATTATTCAGAGGGACTCACCCTCACCGATTTCAGTTCCTACAAAGACCTTGCCACAAAAGTTTGTAGATATGAAAACACAGTAACCACAAGACCACAGGTGTTCACAGTGAATGGTTCTATTATAACTCCCTCCTTTTTTTTTTGTTGGTGTTGTTCCTGGGGCTTGAACTCAGGGCCTGGGCACTGTTCCTGAGCCCTTTTGCTCAAGGCCAGCTTTCTACCACTTGAGCCACAGCTCCATTTCTGGTTTTATGTATATCTTTATGGGGATGAGGGGTTAATTGTCTCATGGGGACTTTTCTGGTTGGGCTGGCTTTGAACCACGATCCTCAGATCTCAGCCTCTTTGGAAAAGAAGAATATAAAAGGTTGCTGGTCACCTGTGGACCACTGCTGGAATCCTCACTACTCAGGAGGCTGCGATCTTAGCACCACAGTTTGAAATCAACCCAAGTAGACAAATCTGTGAGATTCCAGTTAACCAGGAAAAAGCTAGAAGTGGAGCTGTGGCTCAGGTGGTAGAACACCCAGACCCTAAGTTCAAGCCCCAGAAGCAACACCAAACAAAATGAAGCACAAAGGAAAAGCAAAGCACGTTGTCGCTCAACTAAAATTCTTGGCAGTTATATTCCAAGCTCTGCTGCTGACAAAGCTGTACCACAGAGAGGTCTTTCATAGATAAACTGTTGTTTCATTTGGAGGAGTTTGGTGTCGTGTATACCAGGAGAAGCCGTGGGTTATTTAGGCTTAGCGTTTAGGAATTGTGCAGGTTTGGGCTACAATCTTTCAATTACTTAGTTTCTTTGGAGCATTCACAGTTACGCAGGTGGAGATGGTTTGACTGACTTAGAATTTACTGCTAAAGGATTTTTAGGTTTTTCTGGGATTGTTTTTGGTTTTTTAAATTTTCTTAAATGCTCAAAATAGCAGCCTTTAATTCCTGACTTAAAATGCAAAGAGAACCTGCCAGACAGTGGAGGCTCATGCCTGTAATCCCAGAGCTGAGGATCACAGATCAAAGCCAGCCAGAACAGGAAAGTCGATGAGAGTCTTATTTCCAGCTGGAGGTGGAGCTGTGGCTCAAGTGGCAGAGCCCCAGCCTTGAACAAAAAAGGGTGAGCAAGAACTCAAGGCTCTGAGTTCAATACACCCTACCAACACAAACGAACAAACAAAAAACCCTGCTCACTTTGCATATCCTACAGCTTCATATAAATTTAAAATAGTGCAAAATTTAAAACGAGAAGATTGGGGGCTGGGAAGGTGGCTCAGTGGTAGAGCGTTTGCCTTGCATGCACGAGGTCCTGGGTTTGATTCTTCAGCACCCCATAAGCAGATAAAGCCAGAAGTAGCGCTGTGGCTCAAGTGGTAGAGCGCCAGCCTTCAGCTGAGGGGCAGCGCCCAGGCCCAGAGTCAGGCCCCACGACTGACAAAAAAAAAAGAAAGAAAGAAGAAGAAGATTGGTAAATCAGTAAATTAAATTGCTTGTTTCTTTTCTTTCTGTTCAAAATTGCACTCCACTCCCTTCCTGGTGCTTCCCGATAAACAGCATGAATGAAGGAAAATAATGATCAATAGGACTGAGCTCTATTTTTCCAGACTGTTCTGCAAGTAATTCCACCTCGTTTTTTAAAGGGTACAGATGGTGGCAGCTGCGTGTGGGAAATGATTTTGGAACATTCTCAAGTGTCATAAGCTCTGTGTATGCGCGCAGGTCTCCTGTCCTGGAAGTTATTTTCACATCTGTATACTTGGTTTCCAGGAGGTTATTTCTGAATAAAGCTCCCCTTCTCACTTGGCTGTTTTGCTCAAGGCTGGCATTCTACCGCGTGAGCCAGGCCTCCTCTCCTGCTGCGCAGGGGTTCGTTGGAATGAGAGTCTCTCAGGTTTATCTGCTCCAGCTGGCTTCGAACTGGAACCCTCAGATCTCAGCTCCTGCCCAGGAGGCTTGCAGACGTGAGCCACCAAACTTTCAGAAGGGTTGACCTGATCTTACAGCTGAGAAGAGGTGGGGAACAGTTTTTTAAGTAGTGGAGGTTGTCGTGGTAACCTGCATCAAGATGCTCAATAGGCCTCCAAGCCTGAAGAATTCAAGCACAGTGAACACGGGAATTTCACTGGTCATCCTTCCCTGGGTGGTGGGAGACACAGTCGTCCGTCGCGACTGAGCCATTGTATTTCCGTTTTCAGCAGATGGGAAGCAGGCAGCATGTTCCCACACTTTGAAACTTCCTTGGTAGAATAAAGCTGACGAAAGCCTCACGATTCGCATTTGAGATGCTTGCTGATAATTATCACAGAGCGTTTCAGATTTCAAGGTAGGTTCCGTGTGGTTCCTACTTAACATAAAACATGAAAAGCTCAGGACTCGGTGACCGTTGAAAATGTCTGTAGATATGGCTTCACACACACACCTAATATTCAGGAAGCTGTAAGCAGGGCACCGGTGGCTCACGCCTGTCACCCCAGCCATCCAGGAGGCTGAGATCTGAGGATCTCAATTTGAAACCAACCCAGGTTAAAAAAAAAAAATCCATCAGGCTCTTCCCTCCAGTAGACCAGCCCAGAGTGGGAAGCAGCCTGGTGCTCAGGTCAGGAGTTCAAGCCCATCCCCCCGAAAATGAATGCACACTCACCGCCGGCTTCAGGGCTGCGCCCTCGTGACGCTATCATGAACTCTTGTATAGTCACAAGCGCGCAGGGTGAGTCCGCGGTGAAGGCAGTGTGTCCCCGTCCTATCGCTCTCGCCCTACTGACCCAGAATACGTCAGCCGCTCAGCCAGGACCAGGACTAACCGTGTTGGCACAGAGTTCTGAGACTTTCAGGGTCAAGTTGTGGCATCTGTCCAGGGCCTGGTTTCTTTTTTTTTTGTCGGTCGTGGGGCCTGAACTCTGGGCCTGGGCGCTGTCCCTCAGCTCTTCAGCTCAAGGCCGGCGCTCTACCACTTGAGCCACAGCGCCACTTCCGGCTTTTTTTGCTTATGTGGTGCTGAGGAATTGAACCCAGGGCCTCAGGCATGCAGGGCAAGCGCTCTACCACAGCCACCTTCCCAGCCCTTGAGTGCCTGATTTCGGCACTCAGGACGAGAACAGAGAGGGAGGGAAGAGGACCTACCTCCCCTCCCCCCACCTTATTTTCCCTTTTTGCTGTCAGTCCTGGGACTTGAACTTGGCCTGGGCTCCGTCCCTGCGCTTTTGTGTTCAAGGCTGGCGCTCTACCGCCTGAGCCACAGCTCCACTTCCCAGCATGTTCATAGCTCATTGGAGAGAAGATAATCACAGACTTTACCACCCAGGCTGGCTTCAAACCAGGATCCTCCCGTCTCAGCCTCCTGAGTAGCTGGGCTGACAGGCGCGGTGCCCAGCTTTGTAACGGCTTCGTGAAACAGAGGCAGCGTGTGTTCAGCCCTTAGTTCTTTGTTTTCTTTGTAGAATGGGGATGAGGTTGAGAATGCCTGAATGAGGTCCCGGCCTTTTCTCCGGTGAGGTGTGAGGTCTGGGTAACTGCTGTGCCATGGCGTCTCCCGGAAAGGAGGAGTAATAACATCACCTGATTAATGGTTAGGAAAATTCAATAAGCTGATACGCTCAGAGCCAGTAGCACGGCACCTGCCATACGGTCAGCGCTGAGGAGGTGACTGGCACAAGAAGCCGTGAGGCCTTTAATGAAGAGAGTGCGAGCGCACCACGCCTCCACCTGCTTCTCAAACAACACTCATAGCCTTTCAGCAGTGTCTGGAGCCAGCTTCCCTCCCTCCCCCTCCCCCCTCCCCCCTCCCCCCTCCCCCCCTCCCCCCCTCCCTCCCTTCCTCCCCCTCTCCCTCCCCCCCTCCCTCCCTCCCTCC